ATGTGAACCAATAAATGTTTTTGTCCTCGTAGTAGTCGATTCAGCGGAGGGTTTGGTGCCAGAGACTACCGGCAGAGTAGCGGTGCCAGCAGCTCCAGTTTCAGCAGCAGCCGTGCGAGCAGCAGCCGCAGTGGGGGAGGTGGCCATGGCGGCAGCAGAGGGTTTGGTGGAGGTAATACTATTTTTTTCTAAATACATATTTTTATTGATTTCAGGGAGAGGGAGAGACAGAAACATCAACGATGAGAGAGAGAGAGAGTCATTGATTGGCTGCCTCCTGCACGCCCCACACTGGGGAATGAGCCTGCAACCCGGGCATGTGCCCTGACCTCCTGTTTCATAGGTTGACGCTCGACCACGGAACCACACTGGCTGGGTGGGAAAGATTATATTTAATAGCGGATGACTTGACTAATCTCTCTCCTTTTCAAATCTCTCATTAGGTGGCTATGGAGGCTTTTACAACAGCGATGGCTACGGAGGAAATTACAACTCCCAAGGGGTTGATTGGTGGGGTAACTGAACCTACTTTGCAGTAGATCACCCTGCCAAACAAGCTAATATGGAAACCACATGTAACTTAGCCAGACTATACCTTGTGTAGCTTCAAGAACTTGCAGTACATTACCAGCTGTGATTCTCCACTGAAATTTTTTTTTTAAAGGGAGCTCAAGGTCACACGAAGAGATGAACAATCAGCAGCCCTGTTCGGAAGGTGGTTTGAAGACTTCATTGCTGTAGTTTGGATTAACTCCCCTCCCACCAACCCCCATCCCAAACTGCATTTATAATTTGTGACTGAGGATCATTTGTTTGTTAATGTACTGTGCCTTTAACTTTAGACAACTTTTTATTTTGATGTCCTGTTGGCTCAGTAATGCTCAAGATATCAATTGTTTTGACAAAATAAATTTACTGAACTTGGGCTAAAATCAAACCTTGGCACACAGGTGTGATACAACTTAACAGGAATCATCGATTCATCCATAAATATTATAAGGAAAAAAACTTATGCGGTAACCTGCATTAGGGCTCTTCGATACTTGCAGATTGGGGGAAACAACAAACGTCTTGAAGCATATTAACGGAATTAGTTTCTAATGTGGCAAACTGTATTAAGTTAAAGCTCTGATTTGCTCACTCTATCCTGGATAGGTATTTAGAACCTGATAGTCTTTAAACAAGCCATTCCAGTCATGAGGAGGTGATGTATGAACACATGCATACATTCGAAGCACTGTTTCAAAGTTAATGCAAGTAAACACAGCAATTCCTCGTTCAATGTTTAGGCAGATCATTAAGGATGAGCTGGCCAAATGTGGGCATACTATTACAGGGAAAGTTTAAAGGTCTGATAACATGAAATAAATAGGTTTTTAGGAGAATTCATCTACTTGACATTTTAAATGCCTGCCATAAATGAAATTGAAATGGTAGAATGGCTGACCACAGCAATGACCAGCCCGCATTAGGGCCCTGGGTGATTTTTGGTCTAATACGCATGCTAGTGTTGATGTTTTTTGGTCAAGAGGGTATGGACAGGAAGAACTAATGCAGCAGGCTTTCTTTTAAACGCCGATTCACATTACTCTGTTCAAGCTGCGTTGAGATGTTAAACTGGCTTACTGTAGACTTCGTAAAAATGGCTCCAGAAGAGGAACTGAAATCTGAGATCACACAGGTTGGAAATATGTACATAACTGCACAAGGTGTCAATTCTGCTCTCCAGTGCAGTTTTAGTCAGTTTTAGTTGCATAGGTTTCCATTGTATTTATAGTCTGTTTATGCTAAATCTGGCCAAAGATGAGCATTGTCCACCACTAAAATGCCTCCGCCACTTTGAATTCTGCGCTAATTTCGTGGCCAGAATGCGGTGATCAGAACGCTCAATCTTTCTACAGTGGCATAGGGAGACGGCAAAAATTTCCTAAAGTGCAATAGATTTTCAAGTGTATTGTGCCTTGTTCTAAAACTTTTATTAAGTAGGTGCACTTGACAGTATTGAGGTCATTTGTTATGGTGCTATTTCAATTAGTCTAGGTTTAGATCCTTGTACATTTTGCCCATAACTTTTTACAAAATACTTCTTTTATTGCACATTCAGAGAATTTTATATATATGTCTTGTGTGCGTGTCCTTAAACTTCCAATCTTATTTTGTCTCTTGGAGATGGTTGAACGCAGCTTGTCTAGGAAGGGGATGGGACTAGATTCTAAAATTTATTTGGGACCATGGGAGTGATGGTTGGGAAGAAGAACTATTTGCACACGACAGATTTCTAATACTTTTTGCTGCTAGTTTTATGTAATATTTATTGAACATTTTGACAAATATTTATTTTTGTAAGCCTAAAAGTGATTCTTTGAAAGTTTAAAGAAACTTGACCAAAAGACAGTACAAAAACACTGGCACTTGAATGTTGAATGTCACCGTATGCGTGAAATTATATATTTCGGGGTAGTGTGAGCTTTTAATGTTAAGTCATATTAAACTCTTAAGTCAAATTAAGCAGACCCGGCATTGGCAGTGTAGCCATAACTTTCTGATGTTAGTGAAAACAAAATTGGCGACTTGAAATTAAAACATGCCAAGGTTTTGATACACTTGTCTTAAGATATTAATGAAACACTTCAGAACACTGATACGAAGTGTCCAGATTCTCAGATGTTTGTTGCGTGAGTTTTGTTTAGTTGTGTGTATTTTTTTTCCCAGTGAATGTCTGGCACATTGCAATCCTCAAACATGTGGTTATCTTTGTTGTATTGGCATAATCAGTGACTTGTGCATTCAGCAATAGCAAGTTCTACCAGTAAGCAATATTTTCAGTTATAAGGTTTCAAAAATGTAAGAATGGATTTAAACTTGCTGAATGTAAGATTGAACCTCAAGTCACTGTAGCTTTAGTAATTGCTTATTGTATTAGTTTAGATGCTAGCACTGCATGTGCTGTGCATATTCTGATTTTATTAAAATAAAAAGCTGAACTGCACAGTCTCTTTCGTTGTTGTCAATTGTGGTTTATTATTAGCAGTGACAATAAAGTTGTGCTCTTGCCTGAACTGTAAGGTGTTATATTTTTTTTGGTTGCTGTCCCACTAGTTTTGAGATTCCTCTTGCAGACGGGAGTAATCCCTTTGGTTAAGTATTTGTAATACAGTGGGAAAAGTTTCTGTAATAGGTGGAAATCTAAAAGGTGTTCAGCATGTATTCTAGATCGGTTTATATTTTAATCAGCTTCAATATGGTTTGAACCTATTATTTGAAGGTTGGTTGAAGTGGAAGAATGAATTCAAAATCAAACGGTAATCAAATATGGTTAAGGACTGGGGGTCCAAGAATATATTTGGGCTCCGACCCTTACACCAAGAGGTCACTGGTTTGATTCCCCATCAGGGCACCTGCCCAGGTTGCAGGTTTGATCCCCATTGGGGCACTTCCCAGAGGCAACCAATGTTTCTCCATGTCCCTCTCTCAAATCAGAAACATTTAAAATATGTATTTAGGGTGAGGGTGATAGGCATGGCACGGGCACCTCCATTCCACCTGTAGTTTTCGCTGACGTTTATTATCACACATTGAGGTAGGCAGATGGCTACCAATTAGCCAATGATGGTAGAACCATAACTGAACAGATAATTCCTCTAAGTTGAACTATGTGAGACAAGGCCATGTCTTTGGGCAGCAAAAGTTGACCATATGGTTCAACCTAATGCACATTGGCCTTTATTCCGTGTTGAGTTCTAGGTTTGCAGTGTGATTAAGAACATTTTTTTAAAAAATATATTTTATTGATTTTTTACAGAGAGGAAGGGAGAGAGAGAGAGCTAGAAACATCGATGAGAGAAACATCGACCAGCTGCCCCCTGCACATCTCCCACTGAGGATGTGCCCACAACCCAGGCACATGCCCTTGGCTGGAATCGAACCCGGGACCCCTCAGTCCGCAGGCCGACGCTCTATCCACTGAGCCAAACCGGTCCCGGCAAGAACATTTTTTAAAACCCTAAAACACTTGCTTCTGGATAGTTGCCTTTTATGGAAGAATTAGAAGCGTGGCCATTGGTATTGGAGATAGGAAAGGATAGGTAGTTGTTTGGTCAAAATAAGTGGAAAGAAAATGGCCACATTGAAAAGATTGGCAGTGTTTGAAGGTGATTCAAATTGAGTGAAACAATTATAAGGACGGTTCAAGGTCCCTTTTATCTGTTCTCGGGGATCTGCCTAAACTATTCTATAGTTTAAATAGTAAATAACGTATCTAAGTACTGTTTACTGGGTTTTACTTCCTAACCTCTCACCAGATAATTTTTTTCAAAAATGTCTTGGAGCATGTTTGAAATTGCCCAATGTCTTTGTGCTTAATACATTTTTTTTTTTTTGTTCTTAAGTGACCTGGTTGGTCACGGGCCTCCCCTTTGTAGCTCAGTGACATATCTGTGGACAGTGGTCTGTCCCTCCACACCCGAATGCAGAGATTTCATTCACTGCAGTTACAGGACTTTGAAAAGTTAGCTTTCTCTTCTGTTCTTATTGAACACGTATCCTGTACTCTGCCTTAGTTTTTGTTTACCCTGTTTCTTCTAATTAGGACTGGAGCTAAATTAACGTTCTGAGTGATTTTATATGTTGTACTCAGAATTTATGTTTACAATAACTAGCATTGTGGAGAAAATAATTGCTCTAATAGGTGGAGGAAAGAGTAGGTTACAATTGAAGTACACAGAATGGTCTCAACTACTTTGAAAATACATAGAAGAATAGGAGGAATTTGCCTGGCCGGTTGATAAGTGGTTGAGCATTGACCTATGAACCAGGAGGTCAGGGTTTGATTCCAGTCAAGGGCACATTCCCTGGGTTGCCGGCTTGATCCCCAGTGTGGGGTGTGCAGGAGGCAGCTGATCCATGATTCTCATCATTGATGTTTCTCTCCCTCTCTCTCCCTTCCTCTCTGAAACCAATAAAAACATTTAAAAACAAAAGATGGCCAAGCAAACCCAGAAGAAGAAAAAAAAAAGTAGGAGGAACTTTGCTAAAATAGTGACAGTTCCTGTTTCTGGTTGAAATTTTAGAGACTTTCTGCTTCAAACTTGTACTGAACAGATTTTATACGATTAGAATATATTTTCTAATAGAAAATGTTTTTCTCTTTTTTAGTTGTGGAAATAGTACAGAGGGGTCCTGTACCCTTCGCCCAGTTTCCCCCAATGGGAACATTGACACAACTAATGCAACATCAAAGCAGGAAGTGGACTTTGGTACAACCACGGATCTTATTCAGGTTTCTCTAGTTTTCCGTGTGTGTGTGTGTGTGTGTGTGTGTGTGTGTGTGTAGTTCTGCATAGTTTTATCACATGTTGATCTGTGTCACCACCTCCACCAAACTGTTTCAGCAGCAGCAGCAAGATGTGCCGAGGGCTGCGTCTGTGGTCACACCCGCCCCTTCCTGCCTCCTCACCCCGTCACTCACCCCTGGCAACCGCTCACTGGGTTTCCATCTCTAAGATGGCATTTCAGAATTGCTAACAAAATGGAGTTGTGCGGTACGACCGTTTGAGACTGGCTGTTTGTCATTCAGCACAATGACCTTGAGAGCCTTCAAGTGGTTGCAGTTCCGTCTTATTGCTGAGCAGTATGGACGGGCCATCGTTTGTCCATTCACCACGGAAGGACGTTTGGCTTGTTTCCAGTTTTTTTAAATCCTCACCCGAGGGCATTTTCCCATTGATTTTTAGGGAGAGTGGAAAAGAGAGAAATAACGATGTGAGAGAAACACATCGATGGGTTGCCTCCTGCACATGCCCCAACCAGGGCCCGGACCGGGGAGGAGCCCGCAACCAAGGTACGTGCCCTTGACCAGAATCGCACCCGGGACTCGAGTCCACAGGCCAATGCTCTATCCACTGAGCCACACCGGCCAGGGCTGTTTCCAGTTTTTGACTATTACACATTAAAGCTGCTCTGAACATTTGTGTGCAGGTTTCGTGTAGACATAAGTGTCCATCTTTCTGGCATAAGTGCCAGGAGTGCAACTGCTGGGTCCTATGGGAAGTGCATGTTTAGTGTGAGAACCTGCCAGTACTGTCATGGCCGTGTAGTTCAGCAGATGTCTCCTGTGAGAGGTACCATTAGTCTGATGTGTCTGAAGACAGAATCTGCCAAATCCTTTTCCAGAGGAACTAGAATTTTTTAAAAAAATATTTTTATTGATTTCAGAGAGGAAGGGAAAGGGAGAAAGAGAAACATCAGTGATGAGAGAATTATTCATTGGCTGCCTCCTTGCATGCCCCACACTGGAAATTGAGTCTGCAACCTGGGCATGTGCCCTGACCGGGAATTGAATTGTGACTTCCTGGTTCATAGGTTGGTGCTCAACCATGGGGCCACACCAGCCAGGCTGTGTTGTTGGAATTTATTTTGGCCTAATTGATGGGAAGTGATAGCTCATGGTGGTCTTAATTTGCATTTCACCAATGACTAGTGATGTTAATCATCTTTTCTTGTGCTTATTTGCTATCCTTATATATTTGGCAGAATATACGTTCCTGTATTGCCCATTTTAAAATTAATTGATTGCTTTTTACTGCTGAGTTCTTTATATATTCTAGGTACAAGTCTTGTCAGATATATGGTTTGCAAATATTTTGTCCCAGTCTATAGCTTGTCTTTTCATCTTAACAGTCTTTTGCAGAGCAAACAATTTTTTTGAAAAACATTTCTAATTTTGATGCAGCCCAATTTATCAACATTTCCTTTTATGGGATGTGCTTGTGGTGTCGTGCTTAAGGACCCTTCACCCTGCCCTACATCCTAAAGATGTTTTTCCTATTTTTTCTAATAATTTTGCATTTAAATCTACAGTCCATTTGAGTCCATTTTTAAGGTGTGAGGTTTAGGTGGAAGTTCACTTTTTAATCTGTGGCCAGTTGTTCTAGTCTTTTGTTGAAAAGACTATTCTTTCTCCATTGACTTGTTTTTGCAACTGTGTCAAAAATGAGTTCACAACCTGGCCGGGTAGTTCAGTTGGTTATTGTCCTGACACGCTAAGGTTACCAGTGCCATCCCAGGCACATACAAGACAAGCCAATCCCTGGTCAGGGCACATACAAGAATCAACCAGTGAATGCATAAATAAGTGGGAAAACAAAATCAATGTTTCTCTCTCTCTCTTTTTGCCTTTCCTTCTCTCTAAAATCAATAAGTAAATTTTTAAAAAAATCAGTTGCCGATCCTTGTATGGGTATTTTTGGGTTCTTTTCTGTTTTATTGATCTACTAGAGGCCTAGCACACAATTAAATCGTGTGCGTGTAGGGTCCCCTAGGCCTAGACTGCAATCAGGACTATGTCCACCGCCCCGCGACGCCTTTTATGATATAGATGTGCCAATAGCACACTGCCTGCTTCAGTTATTTCCAGCCATATAGTAAGTTTTAAAATTGGATAGAGTGATTCCTCTCAATTCATTATTTTTCAAAAATGGTTTTAGCTATTCTAGTTTCCTTCCCTTTTCATATAAATTTTAGAATAAGCCACAAAATATCTCGCGGGATTTTGATGGTAATTGTGCTGAACCTGTAGGTCAGTTTGGGGGAGAACTGACCTCTTCACTATGTTGAGTCTAAAGCGTATTTTTAAGTTGTAAACTCAGACTATCCAGCAGCAGGGATACCTGGCACTTCCCACAGGGAGCACTCCTGTTTATCCGTCCTGGTATCATGCTCCTCCTCTGGGAAAGGCCGCATTTTGTGAAGGAAGTTCACTCAGGAACATATTAAGGAGTCCAGCCCTAGCTGGTGTTGCTCAGTGGATAGAGTGCCTGCCTACACCAAAGGGTCCCGGGTTCAATTCCGGTCAAGGGCACATATCTTGGTGGCAGGCTCCTCCCCCAGTGTGGGGTATGCAGGAGTCAGCCAATCAATAATTCTCTCTCATCATTGATGTTTCTATCTCTCCCTCTGCCTTCCTCTCTAAAAGAAGACAAAACGCACAAGTAGCATGAATCTGCGGGTGCTCTGGTTCTGAGCCTGTGAACAGCGGGACGGGCTCCTGTGAGCAACAGGCAGAGGTTCCCCAGTGGTCAGATACATCCGTAGCCGCCTGAGCAGGAAATGCTCACCCAAACTGAGGGGCACCTTACACTCTTCCAGTTTCTGCTTCCTGAAACTCATCGTTCTGAGAGTGCTTGGCAGTCTGACTTGAATATGAATTCTCAGCATGCACTGGACTCAATTACCATTCTGTCCCAGAATTTTAATAACACAATTTTAATGTCAATTTTCATCCAGGAGCTGTGTCCTTGGATTGCATTGCGGGGACTTCCTGTAGAAGGTCTTTAATTGCCAAACACGGAGGCAGAGCCTTCTCCTTCACAAGGTGGCACGGGGCTGCCAGGGGTAATTTGCATTCCCATTGGTTTTGTGTTTTTTTAAAAAATATATTTTTTTGCCGAAACCGGTGTGGCTCAGTGGATAGAGCGTCAGCCTGCGGACTGAAGGGTCCCAGGTTCGATTCCGGTCAAGGGCATGTACCTGGGTTGCGGGCACATCCCCAGTGGGAGATGTGCAGGAGGCAGCTGATCGATGTCTCTCTCTCATCGATGTTTCTAACTCTCTA